TAGACAACCCGGTGGCAATATGAGTTTTGTACTGCTGTTACACAGAACAAAACGCATAAAAAATCACTTCCTACTATCATAAGAACTCTTTCATGCATCGTTTCCATCCCCTCACCTTCGAAAAAAGCCTTTTTTTTTCTGCTTTAACCCTAAAAAAACCCTTCTTTCACCTTGACAATTAAATTCTCCACCCTCCCTCTTCTCTCGCTTCTGCCTTATTAAGAAACTTAAACTTTTAGAGGAAAGAAAATGTAACATGATCAAAAACCGACACGCCGGTGGTTCTTTGCTCAGTAACGCTCATCCGAAGAATCGAAAGAAAATTGAAAAGAGTTGCACTGTGAAGCAAAAAGCTTGAGGCTAAGTAGAAAACACAGCTGATGCAAAAATCACCGCTTGCAGTATTTGCACGGAAAAAAAGATGAACAGGAGATCGTTTAGAGAAAAAATATTGCACAAAAGTTTGCATCAGCCTAGAAACTGGCCTTGAAATGAAATAAACGTGAAAGAACACACAGAAAAACAGTAACCGTAGTGGAACGAGACCGGTAAGCAATAAATCTGTTAAAGGCAAATTACGAAAAAAAAACCGGAGTTATGCGTAGGTTGTGAGGACCGATTCAGTAGCACTGAAGAGCAAAAATGTGAGATTGTGGCCTGGGTAATGAGAAATTTGATGGCGTAGCTTTGAAAATAAGCAAATGCGACCGGGAAAATAAGAGATATCATAAGAGAGCTGGAACTCGTAGAAATCTTATTACGCAACCTAAAAAAAAGAACTGTAATGGCGTAACCGCCCAAAAAAATGCGAAATTCGCTGAATCAAGAAGACGAAGAAAACCATAAATCGCAAAAAAAAATCAGAAAAAGTAATCTTTACAACTTACAAATTGAGAAAAAATAATCAAAAGATGTATCGCCAAATTTTCAAGAAATACTCAGTTTTTACATAAAATATGGGCACAATGAAAAAGAATGTAATAAAAACAAAAAAAAGCTCTATGGGCAAATTAGAAGCAGCAACAGCAGTAGCAACAAAACAAGCAGTTTATTTAAACCGAATATTCGAAGGTCGGTTTGCTGATAAACGGTGCTGCAAATGGATTAAACCAACGCAGTGAGAATGGGCCACCAAAAATCATCTGCATGTTTTTCCAACCATCCGGCCCTGAAACAGTGAAAGAAGAAAATAAAAACCGTTTTTTCTTTTTTTAAAATTAAGGTCCGCGAAGAGTTGTGGTGAAATTAGTTTTCAAATAATAGTGCATTTATGAATGACCCTGTCAAAGTTCTATTAGTACTAGAACCAATGGTTAGAAAAAATTTCTTTTACTAAGTGAAAAAACACCAAATTTGGATTTCCCAGTGCGCGAAATGTAAAAATATTGTCTCGCCTTTTCATTGCTGTTAGCGATCACGCACTTCAATTGTTGTTTCAGAAACCCCGTAAATGGTGCATTAATCCTGAGCTAAATTCCTTTTTATTAAACGAATTAATGAAGAATCGAATGGGAACGTTTTGCCAAATGTAATTTAGTTTTGCTTAATGCTAAATTCTTTTGTTACATGTAATTTCTTAAGCGATCAACTATTTCTTTGTCGATTTACCTTGATAAGCGAAAACCGCTAAATTTTTGGATTCTATGCAATTTCCAAACAGTTACTGCAGCGATTCTATCGTTTTTAAAATATGTAAAAACAAAAATCATCAAATTCGGCGGTAGTTACAGTCAACGTAAAGCTTTGGATGTTGGCGAAATGCGGACGAATGTTTGCGTGTCCAAATACTCTCCAATTCGCTGTTGCTAAAGTCATGATAAACAAGTAATGTGGGTTTTAGTGCAAAGAGTGACCAAGGAAAACAGTAAAATCTTCACTCCGCAAGAGTAGAACATACGTTCTACGTACGCTCTTTATGGGATGAGGGTCTGCAGAACATGCGTGCTTATCTACCATGCTCATTTCTCTATGACTTGGTTTTGCTCTCGAAAATCCTACTGTCAATTTTTTGCGAGCAGTGATGGGTACAATTCCCACATAGCCATTAGAAACCAAATCGCCACTTTTCAGTCATTATTAACCTCGACTGAATCATTTTCCTAGCTCTTTAGAATGAGCGCTGGGAAGTTTAGTACAATTGCAAGTAAAACTACCCCCTTCTCAGATGGGTACTTCGATTTAACTCGAAAAAACTAATCTCTCAACAATATGTTCATTCGCTTCGATGGTAAATTGGTACTGTCAGAGAGCTATAACTGACACCTCGCTTTAAGTAACCCTCGGACAGGAAGCCGATATCGGCCTTTACCAAGTAGTGGCTGCTGGTGCTGCTGCGAAATGCTATTACTCGGGCTATTTCCGAATGCCTCGGCCTATTGCAATGCTTGAAAAATGAACGGTGCTTATGAAAACACAGCTCTGTGTTATGAAGAACTATGAAAAGTGTGCGTACCCGTGCTGTACTGCTCGTTTTTGAGCGATTCGATGCCTGTTTGATCGGTGCAAATGGAGTTCAGCTGCGTGCCAAACATCACAAACGTGAATATTGCGAAGAGGATTGCTTCGAAGAGTAAAAAAAGGAGCAGAACAGTGGTGACCGGTGGACCGAAGAGCGAACAATCGTGCCAGTCGCCGCCAACGCAGAGAACAAATTGCCAGATAGCCCAGTACAGGGCATGCGAGGATAACAATCCTATATACATCTGCAAAAAAAAATTTTTTTTCCTGTCAAATAAAAAATTATTTTTCCTGTCAAATGAAACTGTTGAACATTTCATAATGAAAAATCGCAGTTAACAGAATGTTGCTTTAAAGCACCGATTTTGAGGGAACACAGACATTCAAGAAGAAGGGCCTTTCTTTTCCTTTTACATTAAGAATATACAAAAAACAAGAATACATCTGATGGGACTGACCCTGCTTTGTCTCTCTTAAACTACACAGAGAAAAAGCTCAATTCTCGGAGAACAAAGTGTTTAGAAAAGCAAATTTTCACATCCTCGTTTATGTCCTAACTTTGAACAAGTGAAATTCTTGCTTTTAACAGCAATCTATATTCAGAAAGCTTCAAAAAGCCACATCAAACAAAAATCCAGACAAAACTGCGCATAAAATATATCTTCGTGCTATTTATTTCACTGTCCATGAATTTTTTTCATAACAAAAAAGAGGAGCCTTACGGTGAAAAGGACGAAATATTTCTGGTTTCCCTCTCCGACACAGTTGTTGACCCATGGACAGTGGTGATCCATTCGTCGCACACATCGCCCACAAATGCTGCAGTGATGCGCTCGTTCCGGTTTCACACTACTACTGCAATAAGTACACTTTGTAAAATGCTCAGCCAAAGGAATGGGACTGACATGTGGGTTTTGAAGCTCTCCGAATATACACTGCGGTTAAAAGCAAAAATTTCACTTGTTCAAAGTTAGGACATAAACGAGGATGTGAAAATTCACCTTCCT